TATATATATACATATTATGCCATACATAGTGAGTGATATAGACAGAGAGAGAGAGAGAGAGGGAGAAAGGGAGAGAAAGAAAGAGAGACACACAGAGAGAGAGAGAGAGAGAGAGAGAGACAGAGAGAGACAGAGAGAGAGAGAGAGAGAGACAGAGAGAGAGAGACAGAGACAGAGAGAGAGAAAGAGAGAGACAGAGAGAGAGAGAGAGACGTGTCAATATCAATCAGGATCTTGTAATGTCATACGTCATCCTTTGTCTCATCACACAGAGGGCCCGGGGTGATGGAGCGGGGCCAGAGCTCGGGGTCGTGTCCTTGAAGTTTTGAACAAGTTTAGTTTTACTAAGGTTTTAACGCACTTGCAACACAAGAGAGTAACAAGCGCATAAAAAGAAAGAGGAGAGATAAGGAGGATAGAAGTTTGAAAGGAAAAAAGGAGCAAACCAAAGCAGAGCACCCTCCAACCACCCAAGTGGCCCAGTCTGAGTGTAATGGTGCAGGTCGTGGCCTCGAGGTCTGAAATAAATACACACACTTCGACACAATAACGACCATACATTGCAAGGGAGAAAAGGGTGAAATGGTACAAGTTTATTGCCCCTATCAAATCAACACTATTAGGTTATTTAAGAGGTGGGACCTCCGAGTTTAACGTCCGTCTCTGAAAGGACCAAGCCAAAATAGGAAATTCGTGTAAAGTGGCTTCCCCAAAGACGCAACGTCTAACGGAGCTGAGGCTCGGTCCCTCCAACCCGCAATCTCACGATTACGAGTCCGGTTGCAAAACCACTAAGCCACCGACGCCACCATATTGCTGGGAAGAAGCAAGACAGATAGACAGAAGCAAAGCAGGGAAAGACAAAGAACCTACCGGTCAGGATCTCTAAGCACGTCCATTATTTCCTTGAACCAAAACATAGACATCAGTTCGATATGTGTGTTTTTGTTTGAGTAAAGAGACGCACATCAACACAATTATGGTCATTTACTGCAGAGAAAAAGTAAGACAGACCGAGAGACTGACAGAGACAATAGAGGGAAAGTAAAGACGTTGGACCTACCAGTGGTCTCGACACTTTTTTTTTTCTTCTGTTAGTAGAGGTTTTACAGCGCTGGCAACTGCATAAGGTCAAATGAGTGCCAGAAGATTAGATGTGTTACAAGAGAGTAACACACATAACAAAGAAGGAGGGGAGATAAGGATGATAGATGTTTGATAGGAAAAAAGAAGCAAACCACACCAGAGCACCCGCTAACCACCCATCTCGACACTTGTCTTGGCCCGCTAAAATATGCCAACACTAACAATGTCACCTTAGCAGAGACTGCGACCACCATTTCGGATCTTCACGGTGGCCGTAACGATGGTTCCAGTAGGGAACAGGGTAGAGGGTGCCCACGTCCCTTGTGACTCATTGGTGCAGAGGAAGATAGGACTATACGCTAACATTACTTAAACATCATCATTGCACTCAGATCAATGGCTTACATCTATAATCCTTGAATTTCTATCTGCAACAGTTACATGTCATACTGAAGTATGCAGGCAATACACTATTGGACACTATCAAATGCACTTTTTTCTACTAATCAAATGGCATCAATCTCATATAAAAGGACAAGGGATTTTTTTAAGGACCTACCAGTGGCACCCTCCAACCACCCACCATAAGTTCGATTCCAGAGCGGTAAAACAATGTTTTATT